CCCTGAGATCTAATTCAGGCAGACTTTCCAGAACCCTGTTGGTGAGCACATCTCTAGACCTACTGACCAAAGACAAGAAGGTAAACAGATGCGGGAGAGACACACAGAGCACAGGCTTCCAGCTAGCCTTCTGGGAGGTGAATTCACACAGGTCAGTCCTGTGTACTATACCTTTGATGGCCCTGTGAACAACTTGTGGTTTTCTCTACACATGTGTGCTCTCACCCAGCTCAGCGGGGATCTGGCCACACAGACATATGACTCATACCAGTGGATTTCTCGTGTATTTTTGAGACTTAAAAGAATGTCAACTTCATTATAAAAGAAGTTCACTCTTAAATATTATAATTGAGATGTCATTTCGTTGTGCCATTTCCATGGAGGAAAAAAATAATATTTATTCATTTTTATGATCACAAAAGTAATAAAATTCATTGGAAAACAGCTGAAAACTCAGAAACGTATGAAGAAGAAAATTAATAATGCTTATAAGTTGACCATTCCTTCCTTAACACTTACTGAGCTCAGTCCTTCTCAGCCTGGTCTGCTCTGGGCTGCAGAGAGTAACCGAACTGGCAGAGCCTTTGTTCTTGTGCTATTTACATGCTGATGGTGAAGCAGAGAAGAGACAATTCAATTAGCATAAAATATTCCTGGTCATCACAAATAGCATGAAGAAGAATAACAGGGCAAGGGGGAGAGGGAGACTAATGGGAGGGGTAATTCTGCCCAGAAATAAGCATAGTGAATTTTGGGAATTTTTTTCCCTTCTGTTCTTTTAACTATCCATCAACATTTTTATTATCAGTTGCAACTTTTTACATGAAACTTGTAAAAAATAAACATACTTTCTCTGTCTGACTTATTTCACTTAGCATAATATTCCTTCTGTTCTTTTAAGTATCCATCAACATTTTTATTATCAGTTGCAACTTTTCACATGAAACTTGTAAAAAATAAGCATACTTTCTCTTTCTGACTTATTTCACTTAGCATAATACCTTCTAGGTCCATCCATGTTGTCACAAATGGCAAGATTTCATTCTTTTTTATTGCTGAGTAATAGTTCATTTTAAATATACATATCATAAGTTCTTTATCCATCTATCAATGGACATGACAAATACCATATGATTTCACTTGTATGTGGAATCAAAAAACAAAACAAAAACAGACCCATAGGAACAAATCAAACTGATGGTTGCTACAGGGGAGGAGGTGGAAGGGGGAGGGGTGAAAAAGATGAAGGGGAATAGTCAGCACTATTGTGATAATCATGTACTGTGACAGTTGGTTACTAGACTTGTGAAATCACATCGTAAGGTATATAAATGTTGTACATCTGAAACTGTACACAGTATCGTATGTCAACTGTACTTAAATAAACATATTTTATTTAAAACATCATTTTGCAGAAGACCTGGAACATATGGAAAAGTAGCGAGAAGACTAATCTCCCACAATAGTACCACAATAGGATAATCTTGCTAAACTCATATAGTATTTATACATTGAATCTTGCTTTTTCTTCTCTTAACTCTCCCTCATAAACATTGCCCCATGAGGATCAGAGTTTTGAGAGAAAGTACCAGAAGCCATGATTTCTCTTCTATGTGGGAAAAGGCCTTCAGAGAAACCCAGGTGCCCTGCTCCCTGGGCTGGCTGCCTGGGTGTTGCCTGTCTGGGATGACCCTGGGCTCTCTATCCACTGTATTGAGAAAGGAGACATCAGCAGCAGAACTCTCTGTCCCTGGAGACCGAGTTGACAGCACCCCTTTCCCGGAGATTGAGATAATCCCAGACACCCCCTAATGCTCCTATGAGAGAGATGCCATTGTCTTAGGAAGCCCCAAAGGCCCAGACCATCCTCTCGAAGGCAGAACGGCGGAAGTTATAGGCGGCAGCTGTTCCCTCTCTCTCTGGCAGCATCTCTGCCCTAACTGGCTTTCTCCTTCTTGCTTCTCTATAGGAGAGCATCATTCTGGATCTATGACCACTCATACCCACACCCAGTCCTACCAGTCGGGTCACCAGAGAGCTTTATAAGGAACATCTTCCCCTTCATGCCCTGGCAGATATTGCTCAATTGGTTGAGTGTCGCCTTATGCACTGAAAGGTCTCCAGTTCAATTTCCAGTCAGGGTATATGCCCAGGTTGCAGGTTCAATCCCCAGTGTTTTTTTCTTTCTCTCTCCCTCTTTCTTCCTCTCTCTCTAAAATCGATAAAAACATATTCCTTTTAAGATGTTGCTCTTTGCCCGGCCAGTGTGGCTCAGAGGTTGAGCATCAACCTATGAAACAGGAGGCCATGGTTTGATTCCCAGTCGGAGCACATGCCCAGGTTGCGGGCTCGATGCCCAGGTTGCAGGCTCGATGCCCAGTGGGGGCCATGTAGTCGGACATCCCACTCACAATCAGGGACTGCTGGCTCCTAAACATTCGTCTGCCTGCCTGCCTGATCGCCACCTAACCGCTCCCCTGCTGGCCTGATTGATGCCTAACTGCTCCCCTACCGGCCTGATCGCCCCCAACTGCCTTCCCCTGCCAGCCATCTTGTGGTGGCCAGCTTGTGATTACATGGGGTGGCCATCTTGTGACGACGTAGGACGGCCATCTTGTGACAATGTGGGAGTGGCCGTCTTATGGCAGCCATCTTGTGATGACGGCTTGTGGCGGCCATCTTGTGATTACATGGGGTGGCCATCTTGTGACAACGTAGGACGGCCATCTTGTGACAATGGGGGAGTGGCCGTCTTATGGCAGCCATCTTGTGATGACGTGAGGGCAGCCATCTTGTGATGACATGAGGGCGCGAGGGCCACCTAGGCTTTTATTAGTATAGATAGCTAAAAATTGGAAATAACCAAATGCCTTTCAAGAGATGAAAAGATAAACAAATTGTGGTATACCCATAAGATAGAGTACTATTCTGCAATGAAAAGACATGAACTATTGACACATACAATAGTATGAATAAAATTCAAAATAATAATGTTAATTAAATAAGTCAGATAGAAAAAGAGTATATATTGTATGATTTCATGTATATAAAATTTTAGAAAATCCAAGCTTCTCTGTAGTTCTGGAAAGCAGACCCATGATTGTCTAGGCACAGAGGGTAAGGGAGGGAAGACTTACAGAGGGACACAAGGAAACTTTTGGGGCTAATGGATACATTCGTTATCTTGATAATGTTGATGGTATTGACGGTGCCAAAACTTATCAAATTCTACACTTTAACTACAAAGTTTATTGAATATCAATTATACCTTCTAATAAAGGTATAAATAAATATCTCAATAAAGCTGTTTAGAAAAAAAAGGAAATGTCCACTGTACCTCTCCCCCTTTTTCTCTTGGGACCCTGTATTTAGGGCCTTGCTTTATTTCCCCTTTTTCTGCCTTGTCTGTCTCTCCTTTAATTTCATAATCTTCCTAAATTAGGCAGGACTCTCCTCTCTGGACCGGGCAGTTATGTCATTCTTCCATAGCAATGAGATGAAAATATCAGGACACAACTAATCAGAATCCAATTACAAAGTTAATACACCCTGTATTTCCTCTTATGGTGCCAAGCAGTACCCAGATATTAATCCCACTGATTTGGCCTTATGTCAAAGGTCCAATTTCTGTGCCAGTCTAGGCAGTTGTGGCTCTCAGAGCTGAGGTGGCTCTCCTGGCAACAGAATAAACAGAGAGGAGTCATTTCTGGAGAGCATGGCCTCTGAGCAGCAGCCATATATTTATTCCAAGGGCAGAAGCTGTTACTACATGTTTTATTACTTTCCCGAGAACAAAAATCATGACACCTAATTGTACATTTCTTTTTTTATTTTTTTTTTATTTTTGTGTGTGTTAATCCTCACCTGAGGATATTTTTCCATTGATGTTTAGAGTGGAAAGGAGAGGGAGAGATAGAGAAAGAGAAAGATCGATGTGAAAGAGATACATCCATTGGTTGCCTCCCACATGCGCCCCAACCAGGGCCAGGGATCAAGCCTGCAACTGAGGTATGTGCTCTTGACCGGAATTGAACATGGGACCCTTTAGTCCATAGGCTGATGCTGTATCCACTGAGCCAAACCAGTTAGGGCTAATTGTACATTTCTTGAATTATTCAATGACAAAGTGGGAAAATGTCCATCAGTCATAAAGAGAAAACTAAAAAGCAAACAAAGGGTGCTTTAAAACAAAGATGGATTTATAACAGGGAATTACAAGTATTTACAATATACCTCTTGCTGTATACATTATAAATAGAAACAATAATCAAGTCTGTTAATTCCATCTGCTTCCCATAAAAGGAGAAAATTCCTTGCATGTAGGTATCAGGAAGCCTCCAGTCAATGGAGGGGATTTTCTCCCCAGAGTCTAGCAGAATCCCCTCCTGGTGGTGTTTTGCCTTCTGCAAGCTTCACTTCTCCCACTGCTGTGATGGAAAGGTGCTCCCTGTCTGCCTCAGCTTCCTTCTTAGCACCCGGCCCTGAACTCACCTCCGTTTGGCTTTGGCCCCATCCCTCCAGTGAGGCAGCTCCCAAAAGCCACCAGCAGCCTCGGTGTTGTTTTCATGACCCTGTTTTAGGGCTAGTCCTATCACCTCTCACACTCTTTATCCTTCTTCTCTCCTCTGCCCTTCTCCAAGTCTCCCGCTACCTCTCTAACCACTCTTTTCCATTGGTTCCTCATTTTATCCCAACCTCTTAAGTGTAGGTAATTTCCTAATTCTATCCTTGGCTGGCTTTTCTTCTCTCTGTGCACAAGCTCTCTCAGAATATCTTTTATCCTCCCATTCTTCGAGTTTTCTTTTATTCTTATGACTCCTAAATCTACGTGGTTAACCCTAACCTCTCGCTTCAAGCTTGAGATTCACAGATGGTGGCCTGTATGGCTCAGTTGGTTGAGCATTGTCCCATGCACCGAAAAGTGGAGGTTTGATTCCCAGTCAGGGCACATACCCAGGTTGCAGGTTCTATCCCTGGTCAGGGTCCATGCAGGAAGCAACTGACCAATGTTTCTCTCTCACATCCATCTCTCTCTCTCTCTCTCTCTCTCTCTTCCTCTCGTTCTTAAAAAAAATCAATAAAAACACATTTTTAAAAAGAACAACACTCTTTTTTAAAAAAAAGATACATTTCTAACAAAGAAAAGATTTTTTTAAATCTGCACTTCAAAATTATGAAAGGGGTCCCCTTGATAGATCAGAAACTGTGGAGAATTCCTAGAGATGGAATGCCAATTAAATAATGATGGGACTGGACTAGAGAAAGAAAACAGTCCAGCGGGAGAGCCCCATGTCCAGAGGAAGGAGTGCCCTGAGAGCTGGACAGGACCAGGGAAACTCAAAGGAGAACCACCAAAAGGAGCAGCATTTGGTCTCTATAAATCAGCCCTGTCACATAAACACAAACACCCAGCCAGTTAGAGATACCTGGGACAGTCCCTCCAGGCAACACAGTAGATGTGGGCTTGGCTCAGTGCTTGCTTCAGACAAGGCAGAGTACCATGCATACCAGAAACTGGAGCTCCCACACCCACAAGACCAGCCTCTGCCCTACCCTACTTCCAACTGCCCACCCTTCCCCTGCCCCA